CGCCCTCCCGAGCTGGCACCCAACCATGGGGCCTGGAGAGAGGCCTGGCCGCCCGCCACATGCCTTCCCCACCATGTGCCAAGCCGCGGGGATGGTGGAGAAGCCTGGCCACCCATCCCGTGCTTTCTTTGCCCCGTGCCAAGTTGCGGGGAATGGGGAAAGACCTCCAGAGCCTCCCCTTCTTTCATTCTCTCTCTCCCCCCATTTCTTTCCCTCCTTTTTTCTTCTCTTTCTTTTCCTCCATCTAGAAGAGAGGATGGACATTCCTTAGAAGAGAAGGCTCCCATAATGATAGTCTCCCCCCCCCCAGCCCATTTCCTCCTCCTCCACATTTCTGAGCCCAGTCAGATTTTTTTTGGGGGGGGAGTCTAGTGCAAGGAAGTCTGCTCTCCAAAGTAGTCATTTCCTCCAGGGTGATGCTCTGTATTCTTGGTGCTTGGGGGAAAACACTGGGAGGCCTTCTGGTGTTCTGGTCCTGCTGGTGGACCTCCTGATGGCACCTGGCTTTGGGCCACTGTGTGACACAGAGTGTTATACTGGATGTGCCACTGGCCTGACCCAACATGGCTTCTCTTATGTTCTAACTCAGTGTGCTGCAGTGAAAAAAGTCAAACTCTTAAGGTAGGGATGATTAGGAAAGGGACTGAGAATGAAACAGCTGAGATTGTAATGCCCCTGTATAGATATATGGGGTGGATCTGTTGGATGGAACAGCGGTCACTGAGGGTGTGGAGATATCTGTGTATTTCCTGCATTGTGCAGGGGGTTGGATGACCCTGGAGGTCCCTTCCAACTCTCTGATTCTATGACTGTGATTTGTATTAACCTGTTATGATGAACCCCTGTATCTCCCTAACTGTCTAGCAGATTTTCCCCGTCAAATCTTCAGTTCCCCTCAGTGACTGAGTTGTCCTACAGTAGCGTGTATAAATTCCTTGTCATAAAAGACTTGACTATCCCACCCTAAATTTGAGATTTTTAATTTAGACTTCTTCTCAGCTCAGGAACTCTACTCCAAATACAGGGGCTATCTAGTTTTCTTTAAACCCTTGTGAAATGGCACACCCCTCCCTACCTCGCTAAGTGCTCCTTTATTACAAAAGGATAAAGTGCGAATCGGAAAGAAACAGAAGCATAAGCTCTTTATCTCTTTTCCTGAGTAATTTGTGCATGTAACTATTGCCAGGCTATAGATGTTCTCACCCTTTACAGTGACTGTCTATAATATGCATGTGTGTGCAGGGCCGGCCCGAGGTTTTTTTGTGCCCTAGGCAGGGCTACCTACTGGCACTCCCACCCGTGCACGCCCACCAATTATGGGGTTGCCAACCTCCAGGCAGGGCCTGGAGAGAAGGAAATCCAGCTGCTGAGTGCGCACCACACACACACACACAGTTCGTTTCAGAGTCAGCCATCCTGTGCCTCCCCCACCCCCCGCATTGCCCCGGGCCGGTGAGGGGCTGGGCGCTTCGGCGTGGGGGGGGGTTGTGGGCGGGTGGCGTGGTGGCGGCAGCGGTGGTGGGGAAACTCCGAGGCGAGCCGGGAAAGCAGAGCAGCAAACTTTGTTGGCCCTCGATGGGCTCTCAGTTTAGCCACCCTCCCATAGCTGCCTCGGGCTGCTTGCGCAGTTGGGCTGGAGGAGGGGATGCCGGGCGACTTACCAGTGTCTCGGTCCTGGGAAGTGCCAGCCGGTCGTGTGGGCTTTGGGGAGGGCCTGCTGCAGGCCTGCGGGGTCGGTGGCGGGCCCGGCTGTGCGGCGGACACAGGACTGTGGGGTGGGGGTCCGGCCAGAAGACATCTCGACTGCCGCTGCCTTCTGCGGTGGAAGGGCCAGAAACTGACCCCCAGCCTCCTCTGCCTCCCCCGCGCCCCTGACTGCTTGAGGGATCAGACCGGCTGCTGCCCTCCCAGGGGGACACGCCGGAAGGGCAGGCATTCCACTCCGCTTGGTGGTGGGACTCGCCTCCTGGCAGGGAAAGGCCGGCCCAGAGCAGCGACCTTGCGGCTGGTCGGCTCCCCACGGCCGCCCTGGGCTCCCATTTTCTGGCAGAAAGAACAGCGAAGGGACGTGCTGAAGCAGCATGCGCTCAGAAAGTCATGCGGGGGGGAGAGGGCATGCCCCCGTGATGGCCCCACGCTCTAGGCGAGAGTCTAGCTCACCTGGTGAGCGGGCCGGCCCTGTGTGTGCGTGCACTCATACCCTCACACAGATTCATCTTTCTTTATAAATCACTCTGGGATATCTTCATCGAGCCACAGTCTTCGCTCTGCAGGAAAATCATGCATTGTACTCATATATGCAAAGAGACTGAGGCCATTTTCACACAGTTTATTTGTCCCAGGTTCAATAGTGTTGGGAAGTGTGTGTGTGTGGGGGGGGTGTTCCTGCTTCCACACAGAATTGTGGTGCATTTTTGCACCTTCTGTGTTTCTCCAGTTTTTCTCTGATGTTTCTCAAACCTGCTTTGCTGCAAAGTTTTGGGAAAGATCACAGTAAATACTGGATGGCTGTTGTGTGGGTAGAAAATTCAGATCTTCCCACCCACATGGCAGCTATTTTCCATGACCCTTTCCCCACAGCAGCCATTTCCTTTCCTGCCACTGGCCTTTTAATTTAAAAAATGGTAGTAGAATATTGCTGTATCGACATATTATTGTAACAGTAGGTGGAACAGATTTTGTGGATTCCCTGCTCTCATTTTTTTTAAAAATGAAGTCTCTATCCCCATCCCCTGTGGAAATATAAGGGAAAAGGCATATCTTCACAATGGAAAAAGTTAGAGACAGCAACTGAGAGCTGGGGATTCATAGAACCTGTTCCACATATTGCTACAATGATACGATATGGATTGGCATGCCTGATGGAGTTAAGAAGGCTCCAGTGCTCCCTGGCTGTCTTCAAACTATGCAAAATGAAATTGTTCAAGAGGGCTTTTTGCACAGGTAACTAAGACTGTACTGTAATGAAATGATTCAGAAAACTGCATTGGTAAATAGACAGGACTGGGGACTACATTACTGTATTGCTGCCCATCACTTTAAATACACTCCGACAATGTAGTTTCTACACCATTTGAAGTGTCATATTTAAATGCTTTCACTGTGTTTCAGGTTTCTTTCAGCTCTGTTTTAGACTTCTGCTTGTTTTCAGTTTTCTGCGGTCCACACCCTATTGCACTGTACATTGGATGTCCCAGCCTGTTGACCGAATTTGATATAGACTATGTAATCCACCCTGAGGCTCACCAAGAAAGGTGGACTATAAATAATGTTGCCCTGCAAGGCGCTTATAGCGCTCTTATGGACATAGTTCATAAGTGATAAAAACTGAACTTTGCAAGTAGTGTGCAAAAGGGACTGAACTGTGTGGTGATCCAAAAGTGATGCCAGCTGCAGACACATGCCAGCAGAGGAATAGCCTTTTCCTGAGATGATGTGCCAATGGTTCCTGAGGTTACCTGAGAAACCAGCTCCCTAGACACAGAGAACACACAGAAACCAGTAACCCTGTACTATGGGAAAACGCCATATTCTGCAAAAGGGACTTAAAATTCTGAAGACTCCATGAACTTCCCTTCAACATGCAGGCAACCTCCACCCCACCAGATGATGCATTTAGGCTCCATGGCATAACAACGGAGCCTCTGCCAGGAAGGGATGAGCTGGCTGACTCATCACTCAACTCATTTATTTATTTATTAGACTTTTACCCCGCCCTCCCGCCTAGGCGGCTCAGGGCGGCTTACAATAGTTTAAAAACCAGTATAACAATCAATACGATATCCAGTCTAAAGCAATACAATCAATAAATTATCCAAATACAGCTTATTAAAAATTAAAATTAAGATGTGGCGACCATCTGTTATAAAGTGCTAGAACAGTCAGTGTGGTCTATTAAAACGCTTGCCAGCAGTGTGGTCTGAGCTATTAAAACTCATCAGCCAGAACCATCAAGAGACAATACCCCTGGACTCAGCTATTGTTCTCCAAAGGTGCCACTGGTAAAGTGATTAGATTCAACATTGCCCAACCCTTCCCCATCCTCCCGCAACCAGTTTTTTTTTTTAGGAAACTTCCAGGGGACGGATCGTGGAAGGGGGATGGACCAAGGGGACGTCACAAGGGAGGGGGCCAGTGAAGCCCACCCCCAAGGGTATGTCACAGTGAAGCCTGCCTCCAAGCCCCAAAAGGGCATAAAAGAGCTGGCCTGGCCATGTGCTCTCTCTCTCTCTCCTCTGGATCTGAACCCTGCCCTATCTTGCTGACTCTAGGTGTAGCGCTGCCTGAGTCTAACCACGTGCTCTGCTGGTACAGAATACATCCCTTAATTCCTTATAGTCTCCCTTATTTTTCCTGTGGATCGCTTCATCTCTCCAGGATCAGGTACGTATCACCCACCAATGATTTTTACCTGGTAATGCGGAATGTCGCTATCCCTTTCTATCTAATTTTCCTAGGTCTGTGTAAGTGTGTGCGTGCTTGAATTTATTGTATGTTTGTGAAGAACTCTCAGTAAAAAACCTATTTCTCTTAAGAATTGGTTTCTGCGTTTATTCTTGGTTTTACTGAAAAGGTGGGACTTCTGTATACATAGGCTTGTGTCCCTTAGTAGCCAATTGTGCATTAAATATTATAATTCCCCACAGTAATTAATATATTAAGCAATTTGGCTAACAATAATGTAGCAGGGATGGGGCAATTCATAAATTTAATAAATAAATAATGATATTCTAGTGCCGATCTTTCAAAAACATTCCACAAAGCTTGGGGGCCACTGCTGGGTACTGAGGTAGGGAAACTGCAAGCAACTCTGCTATGTGGAGGCCCCATTGCCACATCCTAACAACAATGGGGAAAGCACCCAACCTCCTCCCCCATGTGAAAACCACCTGTGAATAAACACAGAAAAGAAGCACATATTTTCCCAAATATGTCCAAGAGCATTTGTGTTTAGATGGAACTACCACTCTAATAGGCAGAGAACAGACTGGTCATATTACCTGTAGAGTAGAGATCACTTCATCACCCACTTCCTTTGTGGAAACAAGATAGCGGGACATTTCAGGATTAATTATTCTGTCTTCTTTCTCCCAGCGGACTATGATGGGTTTTTCCCCATGTGCTGTGCAACTCATCTCTTTCTTTTGACCCTGTGTTGCCAAGGTGGTGTTTGGATAGGAGGTTATCATAGCAGGAACTAAGAATAAAAATAACAACACACCAGTTAAGTACGTGAGAAGCAGGAAAGACAACTATGCTGTAAAAGAGGTCTCACTACATAGTCTTGCTTGTTATTTCTTATTCAATCTACTTCATTTTGTGCTTTTATCTATTTATTTTTGTTTATATCTCACCTTTCTCTCTCCAGCAGGGATCCCAAAGTGGCTTACATAATTCTCTTCTCCTCCATTTTATCCTCATAAAGACCCTGTGAGGTAGGTCAGGCAGAAAATGTCTGACTGGCCCAAGAAAGCTTCCGTGGCAGAAAGGGGATATGAACCTGGTTTTCGCAGATCCTAGTCTGGCACTTTAACCACTCCACCAGGCTTTGTTATTCTATGAGATGTTTTTATGCATCTTGGTTGAAGAAAGACAACACTACTGTCTTTCATAGACACAGAACGTTGCCCATTTTTTCCTCCAAAGATCACTTATGGGTGTGGATATGCCTCTTTTAAATGAGTTATTTTAATTGCTATTTTGAAATGCTAATGCTTGGTGGCATGGCCTTTTCACATGTCAGAACTATTGATGCTTGTATATGACAATATGTCAGAATGCAGCCTTTCCCACTGGAAAGGTTTCTGAACCATAACAAACTGATTTTCTAGCTAGCAAGAACATAAGCTGTGGTTTGTGCTTCAAGAAGTGCTTCTCATGTGTGTATCATTACAGATAAACCTAGGACAGATTTTGGTAAGGAATGACACACTATCTTAGCATTGTTAGGAGCAATTCCAAATAGCTGCTCTTTCTATACTGGTTACAGTTAAAAAGATCTAATGCTTTCTCAGGTGACTATGTTCCATAAAATGAAAATAATTTGTATTTGTTTGTAGCAAGTTATCCAGTGATATGGAAAAGCAGTATATATTTTTTATTTTACATATAAAACCAAGTATTTTGCAAACTACATAATATTGCATAATGTTACATAAAACAATTTGTTACAAAGTGTTGCTCACTTTGATAGTTTTTCCTGATGTAACTTCATAGCTGATTGTAAAAACATGACTACCTTCACTGATATTTCAGTAGCAGAATCATTCAGAAGACGGTGCACTTTTAAAGCGTCAGGAAGGTCTGTCATGTTGGCTAAAATAGGGTTTAATTATCTAAAACGTATATCTACATAAAATTGGCAGTGCAAACAGATATGTGAAACTGCCTCAATGCATCCAGAGTTACATGCTATATTATTATATCTCCCATGCAAGACTGCTGATGGTAGTGCATTGAATCTTGCTAGTGAAAAGGCTCTGTGCTGTTGTGGTGCTTGTATAACAGATAGGTATGGGGCCACTCGGCCTACCGAGAGGGGAATCCCAAAGTTCAGAGGGGAGCAAGATTTGTTGGCTAAGCTGTATAGCCTTTGTGTTTCAATGTCAAGGACTCTGCGTTTAATCACCTGAAAAGCACCCATAAAAGGGAGCATAAGCAGTGAGTCCAATGGGATGCCCATGGCAATTATTTTGTTCTCAACGTGTGGCAGCCAGTTAGACATGTTTGACTCTGTGAGCATTTGTTGTATAAGGCTCCCTTGGTCTACATTGTAATGTAAACACAGCCAATACTTTACTGTCATGAAAGCTTATAGCTTGAATGAAACTTTGTTGGTCTTAAAGGTGCCACTGAACTCAAACTAGGGTTGCCAGCCTCCAGGTTGGGCCTGGGGATCTCCTGCTTTTACAACTGATCTCCAGCTGACAAAGAATAGCTCCCCTGGAGAAAATGGCTGCTTTGAAGGGTAGACTATGTACCATGCATTGTACCATGCTGAGGCCCCTCCTCTCCCCAAACCCCACCGTCTCCTGGATCCACCCCCAAAGTCTCCAAGTATTTTCCAACCCACATGTGCCAACCCTGACTCAAACTTTGTTCAGCTGCTTCAGACCAACATGGCTACCCACCTGAATTTCTCTTCCTCAGTCTGGAGGAAGGGTTCAAACTCTACTGAGTGGAATGCTGAGATACGATTTGAAGCTACATTTAAGATTCATAACCTAAAGTCCACATACCCACACACCATTCTGCATGTAGAAAACAGGATTCTTAAGTCCATGTCCATAAGAAGCCTTCTAGCTGATCACATGCTATCATTTGCATATGCATCCAGGCCCAAGAGGCATCATCTACATGCAACCAAGTACCTAGGGTTGCCATCCCCCCCAATGGGGGTGGGAGTTCCCCCTCTTTTGGGGCCCCCAATCTGCCGCTGGCCAGCTGGCCGGCAGGGAAGCCCCACCCTGAAGAGCCCCATTGTGCCTGACGTGGCCACTGTGATAACCATGCATCCCACTTCTGCTATGGATATTTATATGCCTATACTTGTATTCACATAAGACTGTCACACAACTTCCAGTGTGATACTGTGGTGGAGCTTTCCACCACAATGTTGTTCTCCTTCCCGCTCCCCCCATGTCCATCTTCAGTCTCCAAGGGATGTTGTGTAAACAAAGTATAGCAGAATTCAGAGGGAGACAGATCTGACAGAATGTCAGAATATCATAGCCACAGTTCACAAAAGTCCCCATGAAAGTACAGTTTGCACAGCTATGTTGTTTTTTGGAGATTACATCCATTATCACAAAACACAGAGCCCTAAAATGAGTTCAGGGAATTTTCCCCTTTCAAGATACCCCCCCCAAAAAAACCCTAAACCCCTCCAATCCAATATGTGGGCAAGGTTTAGAAAATGTAAAAGCAGTTTTTAAAATATTAATCTTTAATTCATGGCCACATAAGAAAGTGGGGAAAGTATATATGGGGAATATCCAAATGTAGGATTTTTTAAAAAATCAAGGTATATATTTTTCAAATCACGGTCTTGGAAAATTCCACATGGCTTGGCTCAAATTGGATTATGAAGGGGTATCTTTGGAGTCTGGAAATCAAAATATCATCTCTATACCTGCCACGTGTGTGTGTGTGTGCACACATGCACGCACACACACAGACAATATTCAGCAGAATATCAGAGCCTATATACTGGGTAATCATAATCCTTACATAGCAATCTGGTATTACCAAGAATCCAGCCCCTTAAAAACATCATATCTGTTGGCTTCTTACAGCTGTATAATGAATTTTCTTTGATTACAAGTATTACCTAAACAAGTGTTTCCAAGCTAAAACTGGTCTTCTGTGCTGCTAAGCTTTTCTAAGAATGGCAACATCTCAGAAGCTTGGCATCTCTGCCAGCGCCTTGTGATATGATTGAATGTGTCAGGGTAAAGACTGTGAACATTTAGAGTTCATATCTTATTCACTTAGAAGCAGTTTCAGGTCACATTATAGGAAAAGGAGGTGATTTATTTTATGTGACAACTATGAATTTTAATCAAAAGACATATTCAGAATAAAGTATAGACTTTTTTTTGCCTGATTCACTATAGGTAAGTATTTTTCTTTTCCTGAGGTTTTTCGCAAGAACCCTTTTCATGTTTGTACATTACAAGCTGTTCAAATAACACACCAGAGACCCACAACTGCTTAGATTTCTCATTCTCTGTCTAGTCTTTGACAGGGTATGAAATGAATGCGGCTGAACTCTGCACTATCACGTGCATACAGTTTTCCTTTTTGCCTAAGTGAGCTTCCTAATAACCAATCAAAAGAAAACAGAATGAGGGAGGATGACAGCTCTGTTGCCTGCAGCAACTTTAGAGTAAATGCTTGAGGACATGTCTGAGAATTGGTGCTCGCTTGTTCAGAAAACTACTCAGCAAGCTTTCAAATGAGCTAGACTAATAGCCAATAGGAACAACGCACAGGAAAGCCATAAACAAGTTGTATTACTGGCAAAAAAATATTGAGAGTATACACATTGATACTACCGAGATTTTGGCAGATAGATTGAGCCATCCATAACAAACAGACAGTTACATTGTAGGAAAATAGTGTTGTGAAAACCCACTCTAAAGCAAGGCCTCTGTTTAAGCCTAAATTTAAATGTTTACCTTTACTTAAATTTAAACCTGCTCCAGTGCAGTTTTGTGCACAGTGTTACCATGCCAGCCCAAGTCCCACTCTTGCTGTAGTGATGTGGCATGTTAGTATTGCACATACAGTATCAGAAGGACTAAGATGCTGGACATGTGCAACATTGCACAAGTAAGTTCTTCTTGACCACATGCATCCTGTTTAAATGGGGCCACAACGTTTCACTGAGCAAAGTTAAGAAGCCTTGCCCCTATCATGTGAAATATTTACCAACCAGTGCTCTTATTTGTATTGCATAAAAACCATATTCGAAAGGATTAACGTATTGCACAGGGCAGAAGGAAAGGGAGATTTTGCCCTCTGGGCTGAGGCTTTTCCAGAGAATCGTTTTTACAGATGGCAAGTTACATTTTTGTCATCATTTACTACTGTATTTACTCAAAAGGAAGACAACCTTGGATGTAAGATGACACACTTAAAAATGTTACACACACACAATTACTGGATATAACTGTAACTTGTGCACAATGCAAGGTGACCCCATTTTATTTGATGGCAGAACTGGGGAAATAGCTAGTCCTACATGTAGACTTGCTTGTTTCATATCAGATGTTACTTCTTGTTTGCCCTCATCCATGATATTTCCATGCTTTGTGTACAATAAAAATATCACTATGCTAACTACTAAATTTGCCAGTTCCTGTTGCCATGTTACACGTTGTCATGACATATTCCCTTGATCCCATTATATCGCCATCAGTGTTGCTACACTACTTCCTTTTGCATTAGGAGAAAAAAGCTAAATGTGCATCCTCTCTCCTTACGCTATTTAAATCAAAGCACCAGCTTTACTTTTGTTTTTCATAATTGCAGTAATATACCAATACACCAACCTGCTGATATAGCCAATATTTGTGGAATAACTTGACTTTACTATGATATCCTTGTTCCTCAACCTATTTGCATTTATATAGCACATGTTCAAAGCACCATACACACACAAACACAGACACCCAGAGTAATGCTTGCAACAAC